AAAAAAAAACTTTCTTTCAGAACATTGGTACAGAATATCCTTCTTCCAAAAAGTGGTAGAAAGTCCATGAATTCATCTTTATATAATCTTGTCATTAATAAAAAATCAGATTGAGCTGATATTTTCTGCACATATTGGGAATATATAGTTATACATAAAAAGAAATCTCAACTTTATATCTCATTCTTCGTGGAGGTCAAGGTAATTTTACTATATTTGTAATACTGATTTTTTATGTCTATCGCATTTCTAATACCATTCAGCCAACTTGACTGAAAAAGTTTATTATTTTTTCTTTATTTTTACAGAAGACACTGAAGTCTAGTAACTTTAGGAAAAAAGCCAAATTTTAATAAAATTTTTACTCAAAGGAAAAAATTTGACCGACTTTTTTCAGCCACAACGATTTTTTTCAAGTCAAAAATAATCTTTTATGACTAAAATCCAAGGGGGAAACAGCTGATTTTTTTGATTTAAATCAGAAAAAAAATCAAAAAAATCAGAAAAATCAAAAAAATCAAAAAAATCAGAAAAATCAAAAAAATCAAGAAAAATCAAAAAAATCTTTAATCTATGTTGTTCAAAACATCAATCAAGGGTGGAACAGCTGAAATCAGATTTTTTTGATTTCCGTGATGATTTTGATTTTTTTGATTTTTTTGATTTTTGTTTGATTTTTCTGATTTTTTTGATTTTTTTGATTTTTCTGATTTTTCTGATTTCTGTTTTGATTTTTTTTGTTTTCTTTTTTGATTTTTTTTGATTTAAAATCAATTGATTTAAATCAAAAAAATCAAAACAAAAATCAAAAAATCAGAAAAATCAAAAAATCAAAAAAAAAATCAAAAGAATCAAAAAATCAAAAAAATCAACAAAATCTGATTTCAGCTGTTTCCCCCTAGCTAAAATCTCACTTTTAACAGAAACATGGCTCAAAGTCATAATGATTATGAAAGTGTATATCGAAGTATCTAACCATGTCTTTATTGAAAAAGTGACTTTTTTGGCGACGCTAGATTTGTTTTCAGGGATCTTAATCATACTTGTAGCTAATATTTGACTTTTCTTTCTAGTCGATTGCGAGATATACGCATAGTTTACCACTAATGCAATCGTAAATTGATCTCTTCGACTTTAGATTATGCAACACTTGAACAGCTTCCCAATTATCAGTAAAAGATTTTCGGTTCTTGATTTCATTTTGTTCCTAATCGACGGTTATCTAATTGGTTCGCTATCTAGTCGGATTGGGACGTACCTATCAATGTTCTGTGTATTTACTTTCAGCTTGGTAAACTTGCTATTAGAATTATTGATTGATCGTTCTTCTTCAAATCATGTACTAATGCGCATATTCTGACATAAACCTTTCTGACATAAAATCTTTGTATATTCTTGCACAATCGTACGTTTTTCTTTGAATGACAAATATCGATATAAATTATTTGTGATATAGCCTAAAGTTTTATTATCATTGCACAAAAGTAAACCAAGCGATTCTTATTTGCGTGAAATGTAACAATAAAATAAAAGTGTGGTAGATCAGAAAGTAGAGCACACCAAAGAAAAAAAAAACCCATTCTAGGTATATTTTAATTTCTAGGAATGCTCGATCAAAGATGGTTTGAATGGATTGTTTGTTACATGACATAATTAAGTTTTTTGTTCAATGTTACTTTAATTTCATTAACAAAATCTTTGGTATTCATGTACATTCCTTCTTTAACACTAAAACGAAGGAGCAAAAAAAAAAAAGAATAATTCATTTATGTTTTAAATTTTTATTTTCATACTTTTTCAATCCATGAATACAAGCAACAAGATCTTTCGTCATTTTTTGTGAATCAACTGTTTCAATACAAGCTTCTTCAAGTAAATGACACCAACTAAATAAATGAAAATTAAAATAAATATAAAAAAAAATAAAAGAAAATTAATCTACCGTTGAAGTTCTTCATTTCCATCAAGTTTACCACGATGTTCAAGACCACGTGTCCATGCAAAAATACTTGCAATTGGATTTGTACTTGTTGATCTTCCCTATTGCCAAATATATCATAAATCATTATCAATAATTTCTATTCAATCATTATTTTACTTTTTGATGTTCACGATAATGACGTGTTACAGTACCATGAGCAGCTTCAGCTTCAATTGTTTTACCATCAGGACAAATAAGTACAGATGACATAAGACCAAGACTACCATAACCTATTCAAAACAACAACAACAAAATGTCTTAATTATTAAATTAATTTTTATTTAATACCTTGTGCAACAATATCCGATTGAACATCGCCATCATAATTTTTACATGCCCAAACAAAACCACCACTACTTTTAAGTGCTTGTGCAACCATATCTAAAATAAACAATGAATTATATCAATGAAGAGAGATTAAAAAAAAAATAACACAAAATGCCAATATCCAATAAAACTTACCATCGATTAAACGATGTTCATACCAAATTTTATTTTTTTCAAATTCAAGTTTATATTGTCGTTGATAAATTTCTTCGAATATATCTTTAAAACGACCATCATATCGTTTAAGAATTGTATTTTTTGTTGACATATATAATGGATAATTCTATTAAGAAAAACTTATCATTATTATTTTTTTTTTTTAAATAGAAAATTTTTCTTACTTTTTTAAGTGCATATTGAAAACATGCATGAGCAAAGCCTGTTATTGATTCATCGGTATTATACATAGCTAATGTAACACCACCTGTATGAGTAAAATTAAAAACTTCAACTTCTGTTGGTGGTGAACCATCAGCTGGCGCATATTTTAATGTAACACGTCCAGGATTTTTAATAACCATATCTTGACAACGATATTGATCGCCAAATGCATGACGACCAATGACAATTGGTTGTTTCCAGCCCGGAACTAATAACGGAATTGTTTTACAAATAATTGGTTCACGAAAGACGGTACCACCCTAAATAAATAATTTAGATTTTTCTTTTCTAATGAAAAAAAACAACCATTGGAACATACGAGAATATTTCGAATAGTTCCATTTGGTGAAAGCCACATTTTTTTTAATTTAAATTCTAAAAATTTGAAATAAAATTAGAAAAAAAAATACGACTTTGAGTTTTTATTTTTTTTACCTTCTACTCGTTGTTCATCAGGTGTAATTGTAGCACATTTAATACCAACGTTATAACGTTGAATAGCATGTGCTGCTTCAACAGTAACTTGATCATTTGTTTGATCACGATTTTCAAGACCTAAATCATAATATTTGCAATCAACATCAACATAAGGAAAAACAAGCTACAAAAATATAAAATTTATTTTTCTAATTGCTAAACAACTACAACAAAGAACCAACCATTTCTTTAATCCATGCCCAAATAATACGTGTCATTTCATCACCATCCAGTTCAACAACTGGATTATCGACTTTGATACGTTTTGGTGGTGTTGTTCTTGAACCTTAAATAAATAAGTGTTTTGTTTTGTTTTGTTTTATTTTTTTTTTTTCAAATTAAAAATTTTGCAAAAGAAAAAGAAAACAAAGTATATACAGTTTCTCATACACAATTTTGATCGCGTGGGCGTTGTCTAAACGTTAGATATTACCTTGTCGAGTTTTGTTTTCGTGCGATGACATTGTTGAAACAACGGTTGACTTGAGAAGACATCCTGATGTTTCATGTGGTTTTAAACTACGTGCTATAGATCGAAGTAAAAGTGAAGCCATCGTACGAAACAAATATTGCAATCAACAGAACTTTTCTACAAATAAAAAAAAAAAACTGATAAGAAGAAAAGATGAAAACAATATAATAGTAAAGAATTCGTATAGACGTGTCGTTATATAAAAACATGATCACAACAGATAGCGGTCATATTGATAAATGAAGAAATCTTTGGACTAATCCATTGAAAATATATGTATATATATACGGTAAAGTACTTAAGGAGGAAGGTCAGCTTGTTTCCTTTTTAGATCGATATAGAGGCCAATGTAAAATATAAATGAAAACAAAATGCACCAATAAGGGAGAGAGGATACTCACCTCACATGTATATATATATTCATCGAAATATAACATGACTAACAAATTGTGTCATATAATACCAATGTTTTCTACTAAAATCTTTTGTTTCTTGATCCATTCTAGATGTCTACAAGTATTGCTTCTTCGTCAAATACTCGATCATTTGATCCAACAGCTTTACCGCCTCGATGGCTTGATTGTCCAAGAAAATCAACTATTATTGCTGGTAAATGTCAATGAAACATTTTCTTTACTAACCTTTTAGTTGGTTTTTTTTAATGATATTTAGATAAATTTATTGCATTCAAAACTCCATTAGATGATCGATATAAAGAAAAAATTAATGTTGGTCAAACATGGACATGTTCCATGTTAATTGATGCTGTTAAACGTGAACAAGTATAATCTAATGTTTTTTTTTTCATTGGAATATAATAATTATATTTATGTTTTCTATAGAAAAATCTCGGTCTTATTATTGATTTAACAAATACAGAACGATTTTATAAAAGTGATGCTGAATTCAAAGATAAAAATATACGTTATGAAAAAATTCGATGTCGAGGGTAAGACAATAAATAGATTGAGATTTCTACACATAGAGGTGTCTCTAGATTGAAGGTTCGACCCTTTTGATCGGGACACATATGTCTATAGAATGCAACATTTTAATAAACAGTCTATCAGAGATAGGATCGGTTCGGTTCTAAATATTATCCGAACCGATTCAATCTCTGCAGAATATATGTATGTATTGAGATTAAATTTCAGATAAAAATTTTCATGTTCAATTTTTTTTTTTCGTAGACATGGTGAAACACCAAGTGATGAACAAGTCGATCGTTTTATTAATATTTGTAATGATTTTTTAGATAATAATGCAAATGGTATTATTGGTATGATTTATATTTTAATTTATTTTATTAAAAAATAAATTTATTTATTAGGTGTTCATTGTACACATGGATTTAATCGAACAGGATTTTTAATTTGTGCATATCTTTGTCGTGAACATGATATGAGGTATAGTGGTCAACAAAATTTTTAGAGCAATTGTATTTTTGAATTCTCTCCTCAAACTAGAAGAAATTTGAAAATCTGAGACGATTTAGTATCAAGATTGGTACATCTAAAAATTTCTTCAATGAAGATCTCAAGAAAACTAAAATCAGCTCCCTGAATTCGATTCGAAGCTTTTTATAATCGATTTTATTCGATAGAGCAAAGATATGAGTTATCTTCGATCTCCCCATGACTTTACATTATCGAACTAAATTCAAGAGTGTTAACTCTAGCAAAATGATTGCGTTTTTTTTAAAGTAGTAAGAGAAAAATGCTTATCGAGTCATTTTAAAGCTGAACGTAGTTCTACAATGTAAAGTTGTATAAAGTTCGAAGACGACTCATAATTTTACTCTATCGGATAGAATTGTTTTCGAAAAAGCTTCCAATCAGATTTAGAGAGCTGGTTTCGATTTTCTTGAGATCTTCATTCAAGAAATTTTTAGATATATCAATTTTGTTACCAAATCGTCTCAGGTATTCAAATTTCTTCTAGTTTGAGGAGAAAATTCGAAATAAATTGATTTTAATATTTATTTTATTTTCAAGTATTGACGCTACAATTGATTTATTTTCAAAAGCTCGTCCACCTGGAATATATAAACAAGATTATCTCAATACACTATTGAAAAAATATGGTGATGAAAGTTCTACTGCAATTCCTGCTCCTGTACGACCTGAATGGTGTCTTAGTAAGGAAAGAATTTGTTGAATAAGAAAAAAAAAATATCGAAAGTTTTATTTACAGCTAACAGTGATGATGAAGATGAACCCAATGAACGAGCTGTTGGAGGTGGTGGTAGTAAACGTTCACGTAATAATATTTCTGAACAGTCAAATAAACGATTTCGAGAAGAACCACGAGTAGGAAATTGATTTTGCTTGAAAATAAAAAAGAATAAAAGAATTTGTTTTGAAAAATTCTTTAGAATTCTAATCCACAATTTGCTGTTAGTCTACCTGGTGTTACACCTAGTTCTTTACAACCTACTATGACAACTATTCAATTAAAATGTCAAAGAATGTGTGAATGGAATCGGTAGATTAAAATAATTTTTTTGTTTGAATTAAAATCATTGAATTTATTTAGACAAGGTTTTCCAGGTTCACAACCCGTATCAATGGATATAACAAATTATATGACGATAGTTCAATCTCCGTATATGGTTAGTTGGAAAGCTGATGGAACAAGGTAAATTTTGAATATTGATTTTTGCTTTTTTTTCCGTTTTTATTATTTATATTCAATTTAATCATAGATATATGATGTTAATTGAAGATGCAAATAAAATTTATATGTTTGATCGTGATAATAATGTTTTTGAAATCACTCATCTCCGTTTTCCAAAAGATTCGGACTGTGCACATCATTTAACAAATACACTTCTTGATGGGGTAGATTTTTTTTTCTAATTTCTTTATTACAAAAATTTATTTATGTTTTTTTTTGTTTTTGTGTTTCTATTAGGAACTTGTCATTGATAATGTGGAGGGAAAGAAAGTACCGAGATATTTAATTTATGATATTATAGTCTATGAAGTATATTCAAGAAGATATAATGAAATTTGTTTGAAGTAATTATTGTTTTTTTTAGAATGAAAATGTTGGAAAAAAAACATTTAAAGAACGTCTTGATATCATACGTCGTTTAATTGTTGATGTGCGAAATAAAGCTATTTCAAAAGGTCTTATTGATCGAAGTTTCGATCCATTTTCAATACGAAATAAAGATTTTTGGGATTTATCGACTGTACATAAAGTAAGAAAAATTCTAGTAAAGGAGATTTGTTTTGATATGTAAGACTTTGTCATATTTGCAATCATTTCAAGCAACAAGGTTACACAAGTATAGCCATAAAGGACTGTATTCTGGGAGATATAATGTTTTACATGGCTCAGTATTAGGTCTCTACATCTTCGTGTTGCATACAAAGGAATATGAAGATTGGTAAAGACAACATTGTTAGCTTCCTGTCTTTGTACATGGAGATCGTATGCAGTCTCTGCTTTGTCTATATTAGCGATGGGCTCGGTTTGGAAAGCTGTGAACCAAATAAATTCCATCTCTGGTCCATATAACATTCTATTGCTCCGTATACGATTACGAAGACACATGATCATCATACTGAGCTGCATGAACCGATAAACTACAATCGTGTACGATGCAACATAGTTGTTTACGAGGGCAGATACTTCGTCCTAGACATGTCATTACTCGCAGTACCCCGTTGTCAGTGTTTTATCCAGATTTCCTTTTCCGTAGAAGCCATATAAAACTCCGGAAGGATTCGATTTTTACTCTGGATAAAACATTGTCTGTTGCAGAAAATTTTCGGGATCCGAACTCTATTGATTGAAATTTTTCCGACACGATCGTACCGTACTTTGACGCTCTCAATGGGATTTTCTAAGCAGAATCGGATAGTAGCCTCAAAGATACGCGATACTTTTTTCCGGTTGTCTGTACTTGATGACTTGCGCATCCTACACATTTCTCAGCCGATTAAAACACGTCGTATCCAAGACTAACCCGAGAAGCTCTAGTGGTTTGACACTACGATTCTTTTCGTTCATATTATAATTAATATATTACTATCATGCATGCATATAGATTCACGTCCTCATCTTGAGATGTACAAAGTTACGATTATTTTCTTTTACCTTGTTCTATTCGACTTAGTTTTCCATTGAATAAATTTTAAAAATCATTTATTCCATGTATTTAATTGTTTATGTTTCTATTGTAGTTAGTTGGACCTAAATTTCAAGCACAAATAGCTCATGAAGTTGATGGTCTTATATTTCAACCTGAACTTGATGTAAGATGTGAAAGTTTTGTTTTTCTTTTCAACTATTTTATTTTATTCTTTTTTTCTTCTTCTAGCCTTATATACCTGGTCGATCACCTCGTGTACTTAAATGGAAAGAGGATAATACAATTGATTTTCGTTTGAAAATTAGTGTTGATAGGGGTAAAGTAGGGTATATAAAGTATTTTTTTGTTTTTAATTTAAAAACAAAAAACTTTCATTCAATTTAGACAATTACCAGAGAAAAAAGCTCTTTTATTTGTGAATGGTATGCAAACTCCATTTGCAACAATGCGTTATTCACCTGATTTGCGTCAATATGATAATAAAATTATTGAATGTTCATATCGTGATGGTCACTGGCATTTTCACCGAGAACGAACGGATAAATCTTTTCCTAATGCTAAAGGTATGTTTAACTGTAAAAAATTTATATTTATTTTAATTATGTATGTATTCTTTTTCGTTTAGAAACAGCATTTGGTAAGTTTGAAATTTATTTGAATTGTTATATCTACATTATTTTCTCTAGGAGCCGTTGAAGCAATACAACATCCGATAACAAAAGAATTACTTTGTTCTCTTATTGATGAACATCTAAAACATAATATGCATTAAGAGTTCATGAATAAGACAAGAATTGTATTGTTGCTATTCTCAATATAATAGAGTTTCTTGTTTTTCCTTTTCTATTCATATTTCTTGTAAAATTGGTTTTGTCGACATTATGAAAAACTAAATCTGACATGAAGTACATATGTAAATACATGCAGTAACGTAGAACTTAAACAAAGAATATATTTCAATTCATCCGAATCTACTGATGATTTATCAAAATTATTCTCGATATGATGTATTGATACGTCAACTTCGAACTCTACTCATTAATTACCCAAGGACCATGCGGAATGGTAAAGTCAACGAAATGATACCAATCGGTCACATAGTTTGTCGATTCTTGCATATAAGATCAATCTGCAAAAACATGAAACTAAACTTACTTTTGTTTTTAATGATGAAATCTTTTTCATATATGTTGATTATATAAGATTGGTAGCATTTTCAGGTGTATGTTTATCTGTCAAATAGAAAAGTAGTTCATACA